ATTTTGCTACAACCTTGCAAATCCTAATAATTGCATCAGTGCTCGGTCAGGTGCGAAAATCGACAATATCAGTCCACTCCATTACATACCTCCCCCACAAAAGGTCAAAATTTTGAAAAATTATAACTCTTATAAAATGTAATAAAAGAGTCCGATTATCTTGAAACTGTATAAATCCCAATACTATTTCTCTCGATTTTCAGTTTTCTTGTAATTTTACCCATACCAATATTGTTATCGTACGAATTTAATTTTTTTTTATTTTTTAGTACGAATTCAGTTCATTTGAGTACATTTGGTACGGCAAAGACCCTCATTCAGCTATTCCTTATTTATTATTCTTATTCCTTACCCAAATACCACATTTTCCAAATACCAACCCCACCTCACAAAAAGTGATCCGAATACAAAATTTCAGGTTTCCAGATCTATTTCTTTATCATATACCAAATGTAGTACCATTTAGTACTTTTCGTACATTTTTTGATACATAACCACCACCAAAGTCTATTTAAAATCTTAACCCTACAGGGTGAGATAAAAAACTTGCAACAAAGTCAAACGCCATAATTTTTACACTTTTTTAATTGTATTGAATGAAAGCAAAATATATGGGAAATGGAATCAAATTTTAGAATAAGTTTAGATTTGTTCGAGTTGTTCACCGTTGGCACGAATTATGGCCTTCAAACGGCCAATGAAACCATCAAACTCTGTCCGAATGTTGTTCTGCGGTATTTTGATCCATTCCAGGCGAAGATTTTGCTTGAGGTGATCGACACTTTGGTATTTTTTAGTGCCAACCTTGCTTTCCAAAATACTCCAGACACAATAGTCCAACGGATTGGTATCCGGAGATTTTGGTGGTCATTGTGCGCTGGGAATGAAGCGAGGAACTTCATTTTGTAACCATTCTTGGGTGGCGCGTGCTGAGTCTTGTTGGCATGTCTAAGGTGTGCGGCCAAAATGTGTGCGTGCCCAAGGCTTTATTTTCGCGATAATATTCGACATTAATTCTGATGCCACGGTCGATTAATACGAGCTGTTATGGCGGCCTACACCATCACCATGGCCGGCGCTTGAGTTCTGGTGGCCAACCGAAGGTGCATATTTTCAGCTGGCCTTTTTGTCAAGTTTGTTTACAAACTGCTGGACAACGCATGTATTCTCATCGGAGAAAATCAAATTCGGCAGTTCACCACTTTCGGCCTAGTGAAGGAACTCTTTAGCTCTGTTGAGTCTATTTTCTTTCTGTTGCGGTGTAAGTTCTTGCACTTTTTGGAATGTCATTGACTTTACCCCGAGCTCATTTTTCAATATTTGCCGAATGGAATATTGCGATATGTTCAGCTCACAGCCATTTTTCGGTCACTGCGACGCGGGTTTCGATCAAGTCGCTTCTTTACTTTTCGGTCCATTTCTGCTGTTTTATTCCGTCCTCTTCCTTGACATCGGGCTACGCTACCAGTATCACGGTACCGAGCGATGGTACGAGACACAAAAGATTTGTTCACATTTAAATGCTGGAGTGCTCTAACGATAGCCACCTGTGGTTTTCCAGCCAAATATAAAGAGATCACAATATCACGCTTGAATTCCATCACGAGTAACTTTTTTTTCGAAAAATTCTCAACAAAATGCTTTTGTAGGCTTGTAAACAATGCAGTGAGCTGTCACTGGTATAATTTTAACAGCTGTCGGACGAGTGGCTTGGAAATAACAGCAGTTTGAAGTTGGTTACAGTTTATTCATCTCACCCTGTATATGGATCTGCCCATGGTACAATGAATTCAAGGTAGGGCAGAACAACCATATGATTTCAATTTTTTTTATTATTCTGGCTTAATATGTCAACTTCATTTGTTTATGTGTGTGTTCTTTTCAATAATAAAAAAATTGTTCAGGAAATATTCAAATTTGGGTGTTTTCAAAATGCATATTGCAACGTATACCTCGACAAAATCTACAGTTTTTGTCGCGAAATAAACCATAAGAGATATATAGAACATGATTTTGAAAAGAAATTTTGACTTTTCATTCATTTTTCGCGGTTTGAAATTATTTATTCAAAATAAATGCATCAAGTTGTTTGATTTTTTATTGTTTTGGTAGCAATTCTGACATTACAAGCCAAACAGGTAGACCTCTATACTTGCAATTTTTTCAAAGTTGACCTACCTTCTCTTCATTGTACCATGGATCTGCCTATCCCGCCGAGCTGAGTCGATCTAGCTATGTTTGTCTGCCTATCCATGTTAATTTGTAATCACGCTATAGGTCCTCACGAAATTGAGCATGGAAGTGGTTTTAAAGTCAGAATAGAAGCCTATGATTTTCTGGAGATGATCGGAGTTGAAATGTACAAAAAACAGAAAAATTTTCTAATTTTGTATGTACTTTACAAGCCACGTGTATAGATCAATCGACACGGAGTTATCCATGGAATTAGAGTTTAGGGCTGGGCCTAAAGGTCACTTCTGGCAGTTACATGAATGCTGATATCCAAGATATCGCATATATAGCAAAATATATAAAATCTGATATATCAAAGAAGGAGATGTTCGCTTGACCGCTTATAACTCAAGAACGGCTGGACGTATTTTGACAATTCTCACCAATTCAGAATGGGCTTTCGTTGTCGTTGTCAAATATGCCAATAAAAAGTGAATAATTTTTGTTATATTACCCTCGTCTCGAAAGAAAATCAGCAAATGAACTATAAACGTATGACCTCCGAAAAGTGATCCTACTTTTCAGCTTTTGAAACTTATAACAATTTTCAATCTAAAACCTTTACCTCTTAAATACCCGCTATCCGAAATGAAATCCTCAACATTAAGCAGCAAACTTTAAGAAATCAATTTTTCACCCACACACTGACATTTTCATTTGCACGCAACTACCCAGTAAACAATTTTTTCCGACTGCTCTGATTTTAGATTTTTTTCCGAAATTTCTGACGTTTTTTTCAGAAATTTCTGATAGAAATTGGTCCGATTTTCTAAACGTTTTTTTTAGAATTTCTGCACATTTTCCTGTGTTTTTAAGCGAAAAAAACTCGAAAAATGTACAAACGGAGAGAGTAGATTGTCTATTGCTCTGGCATATTCTCTCCCACATGTAAACGGATGGTGGTGGTTTGACACATTCTCTCCCATAGTAGTTGTTGTTGTGATCATTCATTTCAAGATCTCAACAACAACAAAGCGCAAAGCAAAAATGCTATTTGTTATTGTTATTGTGAACTGTTAGATATTCCGTTGTAAAAATGTGCGTTTTGTTGTTGTTGTGAATCAGCCTCTTTCTCTTTCGTTCCCAAAAAAATATGATGGAAAAAAATTGCAAAAACAACTACATACCGGTTTTCTGTGTGCACTGCTTTTTATTTTTAGTTCTTGTTTAGCAGTTGAAACAGAAACGTTCTACTGTATGTTATGCAGAGATGGGCATAATGCACTGTATTTTTAGTGCACTAATAATTTCACTATCACTGTTCATTTAGTGGTAGTGCAGTTTTTAATTCCACTACCACTAAAGGGTTAGTGGTAGTGAAAAATAAATTGCACTACCACTAACCCTTTAGTGATATTTAAAAAAAAATTGCACTACCACTAAATTTTAGTGGTAGTGAAAATTCAATAGCACTACCACTAAATTTAGTGGTATTTAAAAAAACTTGCACTAAATTAGTGGTATTTCATAAAAAATAGCACTAAATTAGTGTTATTTAGAAAAGTAATCAAATTTTATGAATATGTTCTATATATTCTGGATTGTTGTTCCCTACTCACTTCAATAAACTTCATTATAGCTGGTATAATACTTATATACATAGTGCTTTTTTTGGCTTCGCTAAAATTTAGTGGTAGTGCAAATTTTTTTTGAAAAATCACTAAATTTAGTGGTAGTGCTATTAAAATTTCACTACCACTAAAATTTAGTGGTAGTGCAATTTTTTTTTAAATATCACTAAAGGGTTAGTGGTAGTGCAATTTATTTTTCACTACCACTAACCCTTTAGTGGTAGTGGAATTAAAAATTGCACTACCACTAATTATTTAATTCTTAGTGCACTAAAAATTTAGTGCAATATGCCCAACCCTGATGTTATGTTCCTAATAAAAATAATATTTATAATGTAAATGTATTATAGATGTAATATTTAAACTACATTTTTACGAAACCCGAAATAAATTGTTTGTTTTTTAAATAAATATGTGTTTTTTTTTTTTTTTCATTTTTAAGTGGTGTGACGATTTTTTCGATATTTCTTCCGAATTCTGAACGATTTCTTTCAGAAAATCGGAACATTCTCCCGAATTCTGAGCGTTTTTTTTTTTCAGAAAATCTGAATTTTATTCCGAATTTTCTTTCGAATTCTGACCGATTTCTTTCAGAAAATCTGAATATTCCGCCGAATTTCCAGACGAATTCTGCCCGATTTCTTTCAGAAATTCGGAGTTGTCCTCCGAATCTTTTCCGAAAATCTAATTTTTTCTCCTATTTTTTCAAGAATTTTCACCGAATTCGGACCGAATTCGTCCAGAAAATCTAATATTTTTTCAGATTTTTTTCAGAAAATCTTTCCGAATTCGGTGACCACGTCTATACAACTTTCGTACCGAAATCGGAAGGAATTCGGAATCAGAATCGGACATTTTTTCAGAGATTCTGACAGAAATCGGACCGAATTCGGCAAAAATTGTTTACTGGGTAGGCGGTCACACAACTACAAACACCCCATTGGGATGAGGCCACAATCCCCTGACTTACACGAATGAGCAGCAAAACATTTGTCATTACCCTCCGTAGTTGAACCTAACTGGCACCCAAAATATCATGCTTCCTCTCTTCTACTATTCCTCCTCTCTCCTCCACACTCTCCCTGTCCCTCTCCCCCTACAGCAAATACGACTTTATGAACGCGAACACACGTTTGCGTGTTTGGCAAACATTTCCATCCGTTTTCACGTGACTTCTTCATATTTGACTATTTACAGGATTATCACCAATTATTTTGTGGTCTCTCTGGCGGTGGCGGATATGCTGGTGGCTCTGTGTGCCATGACCTTTAATGCTTCCGTGGAAATATCCGGCAAATGGATGTTCGGCTCAATCATGTGTGATATGTGGAACAGTTTCGATGTATACTTTTCGACGGCGAGTATCATGCACCTGTGCTGCATATCGGTGGATAGGTAAGTGTTGAAAGGAGATTATGTGTCACCCCCCCCCCCCCCCACCACACACGTAACATACTTCCCTTGCCCGCCTGTTTAATATTTCCTGTTGTGATTCTCTTCCTTCCGCACAGATACTATGCCATTGTCCAGCCACTGGATTATCCTTTAATTATGACACACCGGCGAGTGTTCATCATGTTGGTCATTGTGTGGCTGGCGCCGGCCCTGCTCTCATTTCTGCCCATCTGTTCCGGTTGGTATACGACCAGTGAAAATTGGCGTTACTTAAAGTCAAATCCTCATGTAAGTTAACCTTGAATGTAGATCAGAAGAGCTTTAAAGTCATTATTGGTCAGGTCAAATGGGATGGAGAAGAAGTAGAAGAAGAATGTTTTGTGGGTTGGTGTTTGGGTCTTTTTCCGACAAAATGTAAAGCAATTATTTATAAATATAGGCGGGATGGGTTAATAATGTAAGCGAAGGTCTGGTTTGGTGAAAGTGAGGCCTTTGCGAGAAGATGTGCATTAACGACACCATGTGATCTTGTTATGGCACAGTGGTGAGAGTACGATGTCTTTAAACTTCATACATCCAAAAAAATAGCTGGTAATACGAGATAGATTTGGCCAGGGGCGAAAACTGTATACAGGGTGAGATAAAAAAAACTGCAACAAACTTCAAGCTGCTGTCATTTCTAAGCCACTCGTCCGACAGCTGTTAAAATTATTCCAGTGACAGATCATTATATTGTTTACAAGCGTACAAAAGCATTTTGGTGAGAATTTTCCAGAAAAAAAGTTATTCGTGATGGTATTCAAGCGTGGTAGCGGATTTTTTTATATTTGGCTGGAAAACCAGAAGTGGCTGGTTAGAGCACTCCAACATTTAAATGTGAATAAATCTTTTGTGTCTCGTACCATCGCTCGTTACCGTACCATCGCTCGTTACCGTACCATCGCTCGTTACCGTGGCGAAGCCCGACGTCAAGGAAGTGGATAGAAGAAAACAGCAACAGCAGCAGAAATGGTTCGAAAAATTGAAACCCGCGTCGCAGTGGCCGAAAAATGACTCGTGAGCTGAACATATCACAATATTCCATTCGGCAAGTGTTGAAAATTGAGCTCGGGGTAAAGCCATTGAAAATCCAAAAAGTGCAGGAACTTACACCGCAACAAAAAAAATAGACTCAAAAGAGCTAAAGAGTTGCTTCGCACGGCAACTTCACCACGAAAGTGGTGAACTACCAAAGTTTGGTTTTCTCCGATGAGAAAACATTAGTTGTCCAGCAGTTTGTAAACAAACAAAATGATCGGGTTTACTTGCCAAAGAGGTCAGCTGAAAATGTGCAACTTCGTTTGACCACCAGAACTCAAGTGCCGGCCATGGTGATGGTGTGGGCCGCCATAACAGCCGATGATCGTTCTCCGCTCGTATTAATATACCGTGTCAACAGAATAAATGCCAAATATTATCGCGAAAATAGCCTGGAGGGTGTATTAAAGCCTTGGGCACGCAAACATTTTGGCCGCAGACCTTTGACATTCCAACAGGACTCAGCACCATCGCACTCAGCACGCGCCACCCAAGAATGGTTACAAAATGAAGTTCCTCGCTTCATTTCCAGCTCACAATGGCCACCAAAATCTCCGGATAACAATCTGTTGGACTATTGTGTCTGGAGTATTTTGGAAAGCAAGGTTGGCACTAAAAAATACCAAAGTGTCGATCACCGCCGGGAATGGGCTAAAATACCGCAGAGCAACATTTGGGCAGCGTGTGATGGTTTCATTGGTCGTTTGGAGGCCATAATTCGTGCCAAAGGTGACCAATTCGAACAAATCTAAACTTATTCTAAGATTTGATGCTATTTTTTACTTTCATTCAATAAAATTTTAAAGTAATGTAAAAATTATGTCGTTCGACTTTGTTGATGTTTTATTATCTCACCCTGTGTATTCGAAAATCTTGTTTTTTTAAGAAAAAAAAATCAAGGACTTCCTGCACGAATTGTGAAATGTCTAAAACATTTTTATTAAAGTCCTCCGACCCCAGATTGTAACTTTTGAAGGAACAAACTAAGAAAATTCTATTTGTAGACCACCCGGCTATTAATCGTCCATTTTGTACTACATTCTGCAACAACTTTCTACAACAACAACTACTTAAAGGTCCTGTTAAAAATCTTGGATTTTTAAGACAATCTTGAATTTTAAAAAGATTTTCAACTAACATTTGGAAAATAACAGATAATAATAATAATAGCAGAATAATTAAAAAAAAATGCTACAAGGAATTTCCAGTTAAGGATCATGATGTTAAAAAGAAAAACGATTAAAAAAATATTTTTCAATGATTTTCAAATGATAATTTGTATATTTTTGGCGAGAACTATTTTTTGATAAAAATCGCGGATTTTCAAAGTTTTTTTTATTATTATTATTATTATTGCCGATTTATTTTAAAACATCTTTTCCAAAAACTTTTTGAGATTTTCGTACCTAATAATCATGGAAATGATATAAAGAAATTGAGAAGCCTGAAGGTACCCGGCAAATTTGTGTAACCCCATATGCCACTTTCAGAACTACTACAAATGACAACTTCATACCCTATCCATTTCCGTAGACCCAAAATAATGACAGCTAAATAACAAAACTTACTTATTTGTATTTTATGTAAGTTTCGCGTCAGCAAAAAAAAAATAAATATTAGAAAATTCGAAAATATAGAAGAAAAATCCTTTGAAGTGAATTTGATCACCATTTCAACTCTAGTGTTTTAATAATAGAACATTTGTTTGTTAACTTATTAATTGGCTCTTGGTGACAGTTTGGTAAGAGCACATTGGCAGGTCGAAATAAGAGACTTGTAAGCCATTTTGTAAGTAGTAACTGTTACTTTTTATTATTTATGGGCATTTTCGCGGCATTTGTCTGTTGTAATCACGCTATCTTTCGAACGAATTGAGATAGAAGGCTAAAATTTTGCACACATGTTTATTTTTCCAGTAGGCAGGGCCATGTAGGTCCACGTCTTCATATAGCCCCCATATAACAAATGTACTACAGCCTAAGACAGAAAATTGTCTGTGCAGGTCCACGTCTTCGTATAGCCCCCATATAAAGGTACCTACCTATATTCGGTATTTTGATGATTTAATCATTGTTCTCCGGAATTGTTTCAAATTACGTATTTAGAATTCTTAATTGGATCTACAGTCTGTGACAGAAAATTGTCTATGCAGGTCCAGGTCTTCGTATAGGCCCCATATATCAATACCTCCCTATATTCGGTATTTTGACGAGTTTAGGTACAATACCCACCGAAATTTTTTGAAATGTCGTATTTGAACTTCGTAGTGGATGCTGCAGCCTATGACAGAAAATTATCTATGCTGGTCCAGGTCTTCGCACAGCTCCAATATAACGATACCTCCCTATATACGATATTTTGATGATTTTAGCTACATTATTCACCGTTTAAGTTTCCGAATTTGAATATGGTAATGGCTTATGGCAAACAATGTCCACGTCGTATAGACTTCAATAAAACGGTATCTTTAAAATTTGAACAGAATTTTTTAAGGATTTTATTTTTTGAAAATTTCCAAATTTGTTCCAAATGGTGGAGGGTGTTTGAACTTACTGTTTTTTAAATTGTTTTGATTTTATTTCCTCTTCAAATGTTCCCGATGTCGATTATTAAATACTCCGAAAATGTTGAAATCATAATTTTCGTCGATTATATTTGGAATACACTGTGTCTCCCCGTGCTTTCGTTCGCATCCTCATTGTAATGGCGAACATGCTGCGGCGTTATTTACATGACGTGGTGTGGTTTTACATGTAATTACCGAACTAATTTAATCAAGCCACAAACATGAAAGGCTTGATCACGACGACGTAGTAAATCTCGGGCAGCAGTAAAACAGGAGTGGGCAATATGCAATTAAATCGAGGGCTTTAAACGTTTTAAATTAACCTAAGATGGCGAAGAACATACATTTATGTAATTAAAAGCATTAAAAGTATTTTTGGTTACACTTTTACATCCTCCAGCTTCAAATTTATTAAATATGAAAAAATAATAGAAAAAACAAAGGAATGTTACAAAAAAGCCGTTTTTTACTACGTAAAGAAAGTTTTTAATTAGTATCTTTTGTGAATAAAAAATTAGCCTTTGTACCGACGTTCACTTTTAAATTTTTTGAAGAAGTGTATTCCAACGTTGCTAAATGTGAACTATTTTCGGAACCCTTTATTTTTGTCATACCACCAAAAAAGCATTCGGAAAAATTGTTGATGGGATTTTTTTTTTTTTTTTTTTTTTTTTTTTTTTTTTTTGTAAATATGACGTCTGTAAAATTTCCATATTTTTTTATTAATTTTAAAAACCCCACGCCTCAATTTTTAACGGTAAAGACACACTGTATTTAACTAAAATAAAAAATGTTTTTTGTTATAGAAGTTATTTTTATAATAACTTCTGGGAAGAATATCCCAAACAAAAAACAAAGGAACTGATGAAGATTGGTGGCTCTTTCCGAAACCTGCCTTACCCCCTAGTAAACATTACCATCTTTCTCCACTAATAAACAAACGTTGTTTTTATAAAAACAACAATAGAGGGATAAAGCCTGACCATTTTGCAACAACAAAATACTACGGTATCCCGAACAAACAAGCCAACACTTTTCTAAAATGGGTATGGAAAAATTCTTTTTCAACCAAACTACACATAAGAACTTACAGAATATTTTAGATAAAAATCGATTGAGTTTTTTTCAAAAACTGCTGCCATCGAGACTTTTTATTAAGATTTCGGAGTAATAGTAAAAAAGGGGAATGAAGTTCAGTCAGGAGGCATATGGATACTTCGAGGAAGAACGAAAAGATAATTCACTTGCAGCTTTAATTTGACCTATCTAAGGTTATCAATAATGTACCCCTTACCTTGATTCAAGGTATTGAGCATTATTTTGGCGGAGTTCCTCCCCCTAACACTTGTTGACGATGCACGGTGGTTCATGGTTCAACTAGCAAGTGTCCGCTTCTTCGTCAGTGAAAAGTCCACCTTAAAATGTAAGATTCGTTCCAACAGTTCATGTTAGGCCCTTTTACTACTCAAAATATACAATTGGTTCAGTTTGACAATTGTTTTTAATAAAAACGTCATACACAGTACTAAATTTTCTGACTTTCGAAGTTTTTGATATTATGAAAGTTTTTCCTTTATGGAAAAGGATAATGGGAATATTTTTCTCAGCCTTTTCACAAAACAAAAATAAATAATTTTGACGTTTA